TATATATATATATATATATATATATATATATATATATAATTAAAAAATTGATGACAAAAATGTTTGTACGAATAAAAAATTACTTTCCATCCTAATCACATTTAAATTACAGTTGCATGCGTACAAAATTGCGTTACAAAATTCTGCAAAATTAATTAATTTTTGCGATGTTTCGGATTAGCTTGTTCGGAGAGTGAGAGGTGTCCTCAGATCATTAATCACTAAATTTCTTCAATTCGATTGCAACAATAAAGTAGTCATTCATTGTCCTTGTGCATCGGGCATTTCAGGCAACAGCCTTTCGCCAAGGAGGCTGCTACTTAGTTACCTCCGGATAACGCCGTCTACTCGCCCGTCGCTCGCCGCATATCAATCGCAACAGCCGCGTACCAAATTAAGCAGCCGGGTGACTGGCGAAACAGCCACGTCGGGAACACGTTCGAAATGCCTAAGCAGCGGGAACCTTGGACACCAATCAACCACTGAGTGACCCTAATAACCATGCGGACCATCTGCCTGGCGAAACCACGACAAAGACTGCGACGTCCGCCTGTCTTCCTTCGCGGGAGTCTGCGAGTCGTGTGTGTGAAATATTTCGCGCAACGCTTCCCAACAGAGTAGCTAATATGTCTGTAATTTGTACCAAGGTGTCGTGCACGAGTCTTCGTTAATAGATTTCTTCTCGATTAATCCGCCATCATGCCTTTTGCTTGAGAAAAAGGCGCCGATAACTTCTGAATAATTAGTCGCTTGAAAAGCGGCGGTCCGGATTCGAGTAAATCTAAAGCGGGCTATTTTTTTTCTCTCCCTCCTCCCTCCTCTCTCTCTCTCTCTCATCGATCTCTTGAGCGGACTTTAACGAGGATACGCAAAAGTCGAAGAGCGGCAAGAGTGCTTGCGATGAATTATGAAGGTCGCGACGTTTTCAAATTAGCCGAAGTCTATCGCAAACGTTGATAAAAATATGACATTTCTTCTCCCTTGTGAAATATGGAGACAATTTCTCCTCGATAATTGCGTTATCCGGCAAGCGTTTATCGAAACTTTTCGAACTTTCATATTCGTTTTAATGTCTCAGTAACCAAACGCGAAACGAAAATTCTGTTGAGAATGACATGCGATTAAAGTAATGGGAGAAACAAAGATACCACGGTCTATTTGGGTTAATTGAAGAACTCAATTTCTACTCGAATAATATCAGAAGGCAGAGAGAAAGAAAGAGAGATAGAAAGAGAGAGAGGGAGAGAGAGGAAGAAAAAAGTGGGACGGAGCGATTAGAGGTTCGTTTTACGATTTAAACTCGGATAACGCTGATACCGCGTCTCGCGATAGCATAAGCCAAACAATTCACATGGCAAATAAACTTCACGATCACCATGTAGAAATCGCACTCACTTGCGAACATATACGTAAATATACGTAAGAACCTCTTTACCGTTGCTTGAAGAAACACTCGTGCTTGAGATAAAGCAGCAAAGAATACTCCCCGACAGCCTTCGGGCGAGTCGTCCTGTAGTAAATAAAACCTCGTTATTTTGTAAACGCGGCTGAGTAACTAGATCAGAAGAGCCTCGTTAAGCCGTCCAAGTCAAAACGTTCGATTATCCGCTTAACGGTCTATAAATAGTGGGATTATCCCAATAAGCAAGGAACATTAAATTAACGTTTAAAAACGTTGACTTCGTGAGTATTGTTTGGACATTTTTTAATAATATTGCATTTATATTTTTCACATGTTATTTTGTGATATGATTCTTCTGAATGTTGTTTAAACGTTTAAAAACTTTACAAAAAAAATATTTTCAAATGTTACTTTAACATCTATTTGAAATCAATGCAACATCTTAACAATATTTTTGCCGATTAAAACGTTATGGCAACCCTATTTCAACATTATTAAAACTTCCAAATTGTATTAATGATTTCTTGCTTACTGGAATTGAATCAATCGACTATCTTTTTCTTTATTTAGACAACTCCTTTCTCTTGGAAAAGAAAGTGAGGAAAAGATAAAAAACAGAATGTAAACTAAAAAAAGAATTTTTATTTCTATACCCATGAAGCGTGAATATCTCCTCGCCAGAGTCAAGTTCAAGCGCATAAAGAAAATAGAGAAATCGTGTAAAATAGACATAGAGATACAGTCGTATAAAGAAAGCAGACAAAGAGAAAAGGGAAAGTGTGAACTCCAGGTGCTTCGGGGAAAGAAGAAAGACGAAGCTAAAGCTAAACTAAGCAGGTAGCAGGCAGGCAGACAAGCAGGAAGGTAGATATGGAAGGTATCTCCATTAGACAAGGGCATCGAACTTTTACTCTCGACTGAGAGAGTTGCGTAGGTATTACCGCGTACATAAAGGCAGGGTCGTTCGACCATCATGAGGTCATATAAAAACCTTTGCTATATACAACTATGAGACTCGCTGAGCGACCTCTAATTCTCTGATGCTTTCAATTTGAACCATGATGAAACTCACCAACAGCTTTATGACTCCGCAAAAACCTTTTGAGGAAAGAGAGAAGAAAGATCTTGAAAAGATGCTACGAACAGCTACGTCAAATTTTACGCTCAATTTCACGTTAACATTGTAAAATATTATGACCCAAGAATGTGAGTCGCAAGAATAAGAAAACTCTATCTGTTTTCGACATTCTTTGGTGAATATTGTCTTATTAAGATGCGTAGAAATTTTGAAGAAAGCGTCTAATAAATGAATAATAACTAAAAATAACAACTAAAAACGTATAATAAATAAGTAATAACTTACAAATTATTATTAAATAATTAATAGATCTTCCCATAACCTTGATATTGAATGGGATCCGAGTAAGAATGCCGAAAACTGAAGAGTAATAAGTATCACCTACTGAGTATTATTCTCCACACTCGATGTCGAAGATCGATTGAAGATCGGTGTAATTCCAAGGGAAATGTTCATTTAGGTGGAATCGAAGTTCGAATCCGACTCACGATAAACGAGGAAAGGCCGAACACTAGTCGTAATTTCGGTTGTTACAGTCAACGCTCATTAACTGATAAGTGCCGGCATATGTCTCGGTGATTGACACAGTAATCGATATTGATTACAAATTCTGTGGCGGTCATCCTGACGATTTGTTCCCTCTGCGTGCGGTCAGATCGATCGAGCGTTTTATTTATATCCAAGTCGTGCATGTAAGGGGCAACGGTTCGGCACTGCAATCGGGGGAAGATGAAAGAGTTATTCAACGACTGCCTGTCCCGTTGCACCACCGGCTCTTCTTATCCACTTTTTTATTTTTTTTTTACCTGCTTCTTTTGCTTCTTCTTTTTTTTTGAGAGATAGACACGACGTAGATACGCTTCTAGGTACAGATATCGCTTCCTGCGTTTGTACAATCGCGATATTCGCAACAATAGGCTCATTGTCAGTTGCTACACGTAGAAAATATTGTAGTAACAACAACAATTTTCTTAACCATGCGGTATGACCGAAATTATTACATATTTATTTAAAGACGTTTTGCACGTTTGACTCTTTTACTACAAAATTATTATATAATTACTTGAATGTTTTTTATGTCGTACTCCAGGTAGAGATCGACAAATTTACTATTTCTATAATAACTTATATTACAATTACAATAGATCTACAAAAAAACATTGAAAAGAGGAATATAATTTTGACGTAATTTTTACTGCAATATTTTCTCCTTGTACTCAATGCGTGTCACTTTGTGCATTTGCAATGCTGTTTATTTAAAATATCGACAAATTCTTTTCTTTTTTTTGCGTGGGAACTGTGGTGAAATTTGCAAACAAAAACGCTTTGAGCTTCTAGCAACAATATTACGGGAAATATAGGTGTGATTTCCGCGTGTGTAATCGCGAATAAGTATTTGTTGAGGCTGACGTAAAAAGATAAGGTATTTAGAGCCATGTTTTCAAATGTATTTCGATTCCCATCTATCTTTGGTTTTGTACACGCCTCGTGTGTGCAATACGTCGTACTGAAATGCGTGCAACGATAAGAAAATATAAAATTTAAAATCGACGAGTCGGACTTAATGTCACACGCAGTACGTGCGTGAGAAAATCCGATCGGAAGTCAACGTCGACCGGTCGACGGGAAACCGCCAATTCTCATATTTTTCATGCGATGCGGAATTTTCACGGTGCTCCAAGCTCAATTAAACTTGCCTGAGTAATCGTAGGCGTCACGTCAATTATTTAACTTGGCTCACGTAACATCAGACAAGCCTCGAAGACAAGCATAAAGATTAACGCCACCGCAGCTGAATGCGAAAATAAGACCCGACAGCACCGCAGGTGCCATATACTTTGCACAAGTTAAGATCCACGTTTGCGCAGGATTTAGCAGCGAACTCTAGCAGCACATTGGCATTTAATTCAGGATTGGATTTACGCGCAAACCTAAACAAGCCACGAGGTCTGGAATCTACGCGAGACGGGGGGAACGTTGTAATATCTCACTGACTACAATCCACGGGACTGCAAATACACGCGGGAATGAATCTCGCGCCAATTATCGCGTCTTCATTCACGGAACGAAGATCACTTCTGCAATGAATCATTTCGAATCAAGTGAAGTAAAAGGTGGACGACACGAAACAAAATAAGAAAGAAGAGATCGAATTCAATTGGTCTCCCCGTGCCAGACAAGCGGAGAAGAATATCGACGCTACTGTTATCCGGTGAATGGAAAAGCGCGTGGCGCGGCTTAAAGCCGCGACCGAGCTTAAACCTGCCGCTAATTTAATCGGAATCCCGTCGTGCGACCGGCGCGAGCTTTCCCCAGCGCATGAGATACATAAACCCGATTCGTCTCGTACGTCTATTCTTACGTTCATAAGGTTATTTACACTCGGTGTCTGACACCATTTTCGTAGCTCGCACCGCGGCACCCGGAGCCAAGCTCGACGACTGTTTGTGTTCGCCAAAGTGCGACCGGCGGAGGCGTGAAAAGTGCGGCTGAGCATTTCGCAAAATGCCCGAGTGGAAATCCAAGTGGACAACGTGCGCACCGACCGATTATTTCGAAGCTCGAAGTTTCAGAGGGGGAGAAGCTCGCGCCTCGTGAAACCGCGTCCTCGTGTTATTTCGAATTTCCGCCGGTCGGTGCTTCCAGAGCAGTTTTATTTCGATCGCTCGTGTTCGCAACGCACCTCATTCACCAAACGCTCCGCCTGCCGGAATCGCCAAATTACCGCCGAAATATTCCCCTCGTCTTTCCCGTTATCGACTGCTCCAAAGTCTCCCGTCTCTTATTTAATAATAGCGCACGTTTAATAATAGTATAATAATATCCAACACGCCGCTTGCGTGCATGACGTCCCGCGCCGTCCGCGACACGCAGATGAAAACACCGAATTATCCGCCGCGGGAAACGTCGATCCTCACGTCGATCAATAGTGATTCAGATCTTTTAGTGACGGCGGCGAGAAAATCATTGTGGCGCGCTTTATTCGACACGGTCAGCGCATTTACCGCCGAGGTCGCAACAGAGATAACAATTATTTTTAGTAGGTTGGAACATGATCTTCCGTCTGATTCATCATAGTCCCGAGCAACCCCACTTGGGGGGTGGCAAGCACATGTGGGGCTGATGTGCGAGCGGCACGCACAGCCGGCAGTGCGTGCGTCCTGTTTGCCCCAAACAGTCATAATAATAACAACAATGAACACTTTCCAAATCTATGAAAATAACGGAAGAATAGAGGAATATTCTGCGAAGAGAGCACTGACAAGTTTTCGCGCAAATTCCATACCGCTGCTTCCTTATATCAGAACAAACATCGACAAACGACAACCCAACAAAAACGTACATCTCTCTCCTACTTTCTCTAGTTTATTTACCAATTTACCGTGTGTGGCGTGTCCGCCCATCAATTTATTCCATCCATCCGTCGTCCGATATCTTCACGACACAAATATTTTGCCACGTGTCCCCCCACAGGGAAACCCGGCTGCTACCGCGCGACTTAGAGGCTTACACCGGTTCCCGACGGCGACGAAGAAGCGCGCCGACGACGCATCTGTCGATGAAGCGCAACAAGCGCTCGGAAACGCACGACAGCGTGACGCGCAGAGCGCGTCGCGGTCGACGATAAAGGCGCGATAAGCACACGCTCGCTCGCACGCTCGAGGATCACGCGACCGCGCGACGCGACGAGTCGGCAGGCACTGGACGGTGGCCGCGACCCCACCACGCGGTGGTCCCCATCGTCGGGCGACGACGAATGTAAACACCGTGACAGCTGATCGCCGTGTCGCGAAGTGTACGCTCCGATTCTTCGCCAACAACCTGCTCGTACATCGAGCGTCATCGCAGGCGGCTGGATAAGGTACTTACGCTTCGAAATACGCCGCTCGCTCTGTCAGACACATAGTCCTCATGATTCGTCGAGTTGTTCGCAGGATGTTCGTTTCATGTGTACGTCGAGAAATTGATGCATAACATTCGTACGTGATTCCTACACGTGCATGAGTTCTACTTGCTGAAACAATTGGAAGCTTGCTGTCGTGTAAACTCTTCTTCGAAATGTTTCCGTGAATCCTTTGTATACGAGTCAAATCGAATGCAACCGACCTAACAGAATTGAAACGTTTCCGCAAGTTTTCACATTTTTAGGTTTTATGGGTGAGCTGTGTGCGTAAACAGGAGAGTAAATAATTTTTATAAATTCAATCTCTATCAAAATTTTGTTTTAATTAAGTATATTACCCATTAAGTATATTTGTATATTAACCATTAAATATTTGTATATTAACCATTAAGTATATTTGTATTCCTAAGTAATACATGTGATGTCGTGATTATTGCACCGTATAAATTTTTGGTATCGTTAATGCAAAAATTGCTACTCTATAAAATTATTATTTCTTTAAATTTCTTTAAAAAAATAATAAATTTATATAAGCTAGAATGTATATATGAGTACGCAGGTACATATAGCTACTGCGAAGTTTCTGTTTTATATGTCAACAGATTTTTCTGTCTTAACTGTCCAAGATTTATCTGATTTATTTGTCCAATATTTCGTCATATATATCCTGCTTTGTAACGTCTAAACTCATGACCCAAATGATCGATACGTCCATATTTTCCGTGCACGGTATAGATTGGTAATCCCATGGTTATACTGTTATAGATACATTAGCTATAATATGAGAAAGCAAAAATAAATAAATATGTAAAAACATATTAGAAAACAATGTATATGAGAAAACAAAAATAAATAAATAAATATGAGAAAACAAATATCAGAATAAGAATTATACTTATTATTAATATTGTTGTGCCCACGCTTTTCGGGGACAGAAATCGTTTCGAGAGTTATTTGTGGAGAGCGAGGCGTCAAGTTATAACGAGTCCTGGACAATTGAATTCGTTCCTTCGAACCGAACTGACGTGCGACGAGTTAAATCGCAAGATTTTTAAAATCTACTTGTTTACGCTAGAGCTTGTAAATAATTCAAACGATTATTTACTTTCTTAAGAACGTATTTTTTTTTCTTTCGTATTTTATTTGCCTACTCTCGGACGTGAGTGCGCAAACGAGCGCAACAATATAATGAAAGACGTATTATTAATGAGTAGCTTAAAATTGGAATTAAAAGTGCGATACATACTTAAATTAGTCTGCAAACCGCTTGTTGTAAGACTATTAATTGGGCAAAAGCTAAACGATAGAAAACTGCACGTAGGTGGGTTCTCCATTTCTTCGTCCAATATATCCTATCTTGTGTACGCCACGCCGTAACATCCAACAAAAGTACGAGTTTGTAACAATTATATCTTGTAAAAACAAAACATTCTCATTAGGACACTCAACATAGTTAGGAGAGCGTATCTATTTCTTGCCAATATAGTAAATAATACAAAACAATATAAAAAAAACGAAATTATCCCATTCCGGAGAATTTATAATTTTTACAAATGAAATGGACAAATCTTCCGTATTTTTTTATAAATCTCTGTATTTTCTTATAAATCTTATAAATCTAACGAGAATCTGACTTCCTATTTCCCTTTCAATACGCAAACTTCTTACAAGAATTTAATAAAAAAAATAATAAATTGTGTAATATCGATGGCTGGCACCTTGTTATAATATATTGTTCTTCAGTATTTAAATATCTCAAACACTACGCAGTTACAAGTTTAACGAAGGTCGTTACTTACTAAATTATTCGTAGAAGACAGAAGTTTAATACCAGAAGATGTTCGTAATGTTTGCGTGGATTGCTCCGTGGATTTCGAGTGAAGTTCGAGACGCAACGTAGTCGTACACGTTGTAAACTGTAAATAAAAATGTTGTACTGTTACAATAGCTAAGAAGCTATAAAAGTTCGTTTATACTTATCCATCTAATGGAATAGATACTGACCTTCTCTTCCCTTTCTCTCAGTGCAAATTCTTTCATTTCATTCTACAAAATTTTACGTTAACCACGAATCAAACACGGAACGAATAAGTAAAAACAGACCTTAAATATATCCTAAAGTAAAATATATTCGAAAAAACTAAGGCAAAGTCTGAGTTCGTGCATAATACGTTTTACTATTCAATTTTCCTCTCGATAATTCTATTTTAACGTTTACATGTAAATAGCATAAGCATTCCTGGAGGTTTTAAAATTCCAAAGGTTTTTAGGAAAGTTTCACAATTTCTTTATGATATATTAAGTTGTTGCGTCCCGAGCGTCCCTTTTCCTGAAAACAGTTGCAACGAGTCATAATAGCTCAAATGGTCTTATTGAAAACAATGCCGCAAGTAACATTTAGACGAACTAAAAACTTTAAATATTTCTTCAAACTTAAGTGTTTCCAGATGTCCTCATATTTTTATGTTATCAACAGGGAACTATATCGACGGAAATAAACGATTTCGGTAAATCTAATTTCTACTAAAAATCTTGATTTAATTTCAGATCTTTATCACAACTAGAGGTGTGTTATATGATCAGTAATAATTATACATATCACAGCTTAATATTTATGTAAGAGAATTGGATACAACTTGTATTATGTGTAAAAAAAAATTCTGGAAAAGACATTCAACATATTATAGTTGAATTAATGTACCTACCAAAAGGAAAAATTTAATATCTGTTTGTAATTGGTTATATTAAACATCAGATGGGAAGAAATGTACGAGTGTATGCTTCATAATATTACTGTGATCTCCCACAAGCATTTTGGTTTTGTACAATGTATTGACGTTAAAAATGATGTGTTCAAACTTGCTCGCTTCTACAAAATATATAAATTTTTTCCAAATGTCATATTGTTCATTGTATACAGCATATTTCAATTTCGCAATAGCTAATTTTCTAATGTTTCTTCTAAAAAATATTAAAACTATTACATTTATATTTTTCAATGTGTGGCATATTCTCTCTCTCTCTCTCTCTCTCTCTCTCTCTCTCTCTCCCTCTCCCTCTCTCTCTCCTTCCCTCTCTCTAACCTGCACCAAGAATTTGACATATATCATTCATATGTAGTATTCTCGCATATGCGTTCGGCTCTATCTGCTGAAACAAGCTATCATGTAATCTCTTCTTCGAAATGTTTCCGCGAATCCTGGTTATAGTTATTTAAGTAAAATTGAATGCAACCAACTTAATAGAATTGAAACATTGCGTACCCGCAAGTTTTCTCAATCTCATGTGTGCCAGGGGTAAACTGTGAGCATAAACAACAGTAAATAATTTTTATAAATCAAATTTCTATTAAAATTTTGTTTTAATTTACCATTAAATACATTTGTATACTTAAGTAATAATATGTCGTCGTGATCATTGCACCGTATAATACTTTGGTACCATCAATGTAAAAATTACTACGTTATAAAATAAATATTTCTTTAAATTTTTTAAAAAAATAATAAGTTTATAAGCCAGAATGCATATATAAGTACGGAGATACAGCTACTGCGAGGTTTCTACTTTATCTATCAAGTTCAGATTCATCGTGTACGTTAATATAAAATTCGTCAAATATGTTCTGCTTTGTAACGTCTAAACTCATGACCCAAATAATCGATGCGTTCGTATCCACTGTCACCACAGTTTTCTTGCACAATATATCTTTTGTCTCTCCTAATTCAGTTGCAGACACGTTAGCTGAAACATGAGAAAACAAACATTAGAATAAGAAAAATTATACTTATTATGTTTTAATATTGTTGCGCCCGCGCTTTCAGAGACAGAGATCGTTTCGAGAGTTATTTGAGAGCGAGGCGTCAAGTTCTAGCGAATCTTGAACAATTGAATTCGTCCCTCACGAGCCTTCGAGCTGGGCTGATGTTCGACAAGTCGGACCGTAAGATTTTAAAAAATCTTGTTTACGCTAGAGTTTGTAAATAACTCAATTAAACGATTATTTACTTTTTTAAGAAAGTGTATATTATTTGCCTACTGACGTGAGTGCGCGAACGAGCGTAACAATATAGTGAAAGACGTATTATTAATGAGTAGCTTAAAGATGGGACAAATTAAAAATGCGATACATACTGAAATTGGTCTGCAATCCGGTTGTTGTGAGATTATTTACTACGCGATAGTTAAATACTACAAAACTACACATAGGTGTGTTTTCCATTTTTTCGTCCTGTGCCACACGTATCTTGTGCACCCCACGCCGTAACATCCAGCAAAAATGAGAATTTGAAACTATTATAATCTGTAAAAAAGAAAAGATTCTTATGAAGACATAATTAAGTAATGTCTATTAAACGTATCTATTAAACAGAAAATTCAACATCTAATTTTAATTTATTTTGTCAAATATTAAATTTAGACAAATATGGGAGTGCATGATTACCTCTACATTGCGTATGTTCCCGTCGCTTATACGTAACGTCTCTATGACTTGGAAGATATCAAAATTTGTTTCTGACTCCGCAAATACGTACATGTCTCTTAACTGTTAACAGAATTGTTCATTTTATAGTACACCATATTTTAAGTTTGCAATATGCAAAAGCACAGCAATGACTATTTACAAACATAATATTTATAGAAAAGATATAAAAAATTAATGAAATTATATTACGGTTATATTTAATTCATGGGCACAATCTACGATGCGATTCAATGCTCCATTGAATTTCATGTCATCCAGATGAGGCAGGTAGATGACCCTGGAGCCTAGAGTTTCCAGTCTGTCGATTATGGTTGGTGGATCATTTATACTTCTATCCACCCTTTCCGCAATAATAATTTTGGGCACGTATTTATTGTACTGGCCGCTGAATACATCAATCCCTGCGTTCTCCAAGCACTGTACCCAGCGGCATATTCCATCACTCACAGTAACTGTAAGTACAGCTAATTTTATAAGAAAAAAAATTTATATTATTTTTTCCATCAATTTTTCTTTAATACAAACGTAGACGGAAAAGTAGATTTCCAGTTGTATGTAATTAAAAATAAAGTATTTTTTGTTAATAAACTCTAGAGATGTTAATACGGAAAATGCAAGATTTCAAGAAAATTTCATAGATCTAACACGATCTATGCCTCGTAAGCTACCGATGGTTCACGTATCATAGACTAGTCATATGAAATTAGTCCAGCATGGACCCAGGTAGAACACAAAATCATTTTGGTGTCAAGATAATATCATTTTAACATCAATGTCATGAAATTGTCATGCAAATGGTATCGTTTGACGTCAAAATGACATCACTTTTATATTATTTGACATTATTTTGACTATTATATTGCGTTCTACTTGGGGAACGAATTAAAAAAAAAGACAATTATTAGTTTAGTTATCAAAATATCTAACACCGTGAGAAGTGAAAAAATATATATGCATGAAAAATGTTATAAGCACAAATAATACAATTGTAATCTATTTACCTTTTTCCCAAATTTGAAACATTTTTTGCGGTTCTATCAATATGGGTCGAGCCATCACAACAACTGCATAGTTGTGATATCTACGACTAAAAATAGTACACGGGTACCAATTATTCGGCTCATTACATTTCAACTGTTGCTCCATCGTGTAATTCAGTAAAACATGTTTCACCACTGAAAAGTAATCAGAGCAAATTAAAAGAAAATTCAAAGAATATCAAAAAGTATATATCACGCATTCGGACACCAGATACGCAAAATAATTAATTTTCTTCATATTATAATCATCCGTATGGACCATATAAATAGAATTTTAATGTCCGAATGCTTTAGGTCCTAGAAGCCACCTTTATTTTATTGGCAAGAGAGCCCCTCTTGTCAATATAATAGTAAATAATACAAAATAAAAAAACGATATTATCCTATTCTGGAAAATTTATAATTTTTACAAATAAAACGGACAAAACTTTGATTCTGTATTTTCTTATATCGACGCCTCCTATCAATAGAATCCTAACTCGAGCGACAGTTCAATATAGTCCTAACTTGAGCTTACGTGCAATATACTTCTAACTCGCGCTTTCACGCAATATAATCCTTACTCGCTATTGCACGTGCAATATAATCCTAACTTACCTGCGCGGGTGTAAAATCTTAAATCGTAGGCATGTGCAATATAATCTTAACTCGCCTCCTCCATACAATATAATTTTAATTCGCCTACGTGCAATAAAATTTCTATTCGCACAGTCGGCGCAACAAAATTGCAGTTTGCATGAGTTTTTATTATAAAATAAACTGATTGATAAACGTACACTGAGTTGTGAATGGATGTCTGTTCGTTTTCGAATTTTCGATATTTCGAATTAATGAAAATATATAGCTTTTAAAAGTAGTAATAACTTTCTAATCGAATAATTTCAAAAAATCGTATTAAATTTTTGCTCATTATAAACAACTTAGCTAAACTTAAAAGTCTTTAAAATCTAATTATAGGATAGGAAAAAGCTATTTATTTGTTTGAAAACTAAATTTTTTATTTTATTTTATAACATTCTTATATATCATATGTTCAATGTTTAATTTTTTATTTTTGAAACATAAGAAATAAACATTATTTAACAAATATTAATAACAGTTAATATATATTATCATAATTTATTCTAGACTTTATCAATATAACAAAAATAATAATGTTTCTCAATAATAATGTTTCTCAAGCGAATTAAAATTATATTGCATGGACAAGTGAGTTAAGATTATATTGCACGTGCCTACGAGTTAGGATTTTACACACGCGCAGGTAAAATAGGATTTTATTACATGCGCATACGAGTAAGGATTTTATTGCACGTGCAAGCGAGTAAGGATTATATTGCGTGAAACGCAATAATTAACGCGAGTTAAGAGTATGTTGCACGCAGGCTCGAGTTAGGAGTATATTGAATTGTCGCTCGAATTAGGATTCTATTGATAGCAAACGTCGATATATCTTGTAAATCTAATGAAAATCTGACTTTTACTATTTTCCTTTTAATACAAACTTCTTACAAGAATTTAATAGAAAAAAATTATAAATTATGTAATGTCGATGACTGCCAATATATTAGGTGGTAAACTTAGTTCCTGCGGTTTTTTTGTTTAAAAAACTCATTTATTTCGACATCAAAAGCAAAAAATACATTAATCGAAGTATTTTCCCTTGCTAGCTATACATTTTTCCCATCTTTCGGGCAACGCGTAGATTCTGCAACGATAGAACGATTGGTCTTTTGATGCAATCCATTCGTCGATCCATTTTCGCACATCCTCGTAATTTCTGCCTGGCCAGCAGAGAAATAGAGATGTTTAAGCGATTCGCAATGGCATTTGCGGTTAATTCGTGTGGTACCCATTTTCCCTCCTTTTGAATTTTTCCCATTGCATGTAGACGTTTGGAAACAGCCATCGGAGTAACATTTAATGCTGCAGACAATTCTTGGAGCGTTTGAGTAGAGTTTTCGTCCAATAATGCCTGCAAATCGGTGTCTTCAAACTTTTTCGGTTGGCCTGAGCGTTCTTTATCATTGACATCAAAATCACCACTCTTAAATCGCTGAAACCATACTTGGCATGTTCTTTCCGATGGAGCATAATTGCCATAAGCTTCGAAAAGCAATTTATGAGCTGCAGCTGCAGTTTTTTTCAAGTCAAAGTAATGAAGCAGCACATGTCGAAAAAACAACTTATCACGTTCCATATTTAATCAAAAGAAAAAATAGCACTGCTCGCTTAAATGAATCTCTTCGCACTGAATTTTATTGACAAATGTCTAACCTCTAAAATGCAGCCAGTTTCAGATGTCAAAATAAATTACACCTACAACTAACGTCATCTAACGGTGAGCCGCAGGAACTAAGTTTACCACCTAAATAAAGCAAATAATAAACACTATTAAAGCTTTTGCATCAATCTATAGTCATTTTTCGAGATGCACGTGACCGCGGTATGACTATCACGTTATAAAAAATACGTAAAATAAACTGCACGCCTTATAATACTTGTTATATTATAACACATTGTTCTTTAATATTTTAAACATTTCAAACACTATGCAATCACAAATTTAACGAAGATCGTTACTTACCAAATTATTCGTAGAAGGCAGAAGTTTAATATCAGAAGACGTTCGAAATGTTTGCGTGGATCACTCCGTGAATTTCGAATGAAGTTCGAGACGCAACGTACTCGTACTCTGCACGTAGTAAACTGTGGGTTTTTTATACCTTTAGGCCCACTTTTCACAAAAAGGCAGGAAGGACAGGCGTCAAGTTGGAAGGACAGTATAGGACAGTATTGGTGGCAAGGGTAGTGTTAATAGCAAGAACAAATTTCATTGGCTGAACTATAGTGAACAATGAAAGTAAGATAGTGCAGGCCTACATGCTATAAATTTTGTACTGTTACCATAGAAAAAACTTTCTCTTCGAAGGATCGGCGATAAATTTTTTTTCTTTCAGTTGCTTCAAGGTCAACCAAAAAAATTTCTTCACCATGAATATGTGATTCTTTGAAAAGGCAAAGTTTTCTGAAGACATTTGGAAATGTCCATTTTCCATAAGTCCGTACTATAAAGAAAGCAATTTATTAATAATATATAATCATATTTTTTAGATAATAGCATATTTAAATAACAAATATAGTCCTTACTTTTATTATTACTTTGCAGCAAATCCTGAAAAAAATCTTCAAAATAACGGAAGAAATAACGGAAATTGTATTGAATCGTTATTTCTTGAATAACGATAATGAATTGTTCCTAAAACATGTAAAGTGTTCGATTAGAAGTTATTTGTTAAAAATAATTTTCCAAATACTGAATGTATAATTATCCTTTCGCTCGTTCCAAACTTTAGCTTCAAGTTCCAACGACAGCTATTATAATATAAAAATTTGTTTATACTTATCCGTCTAATCGAACGGATACTGGTCCTCTTCTTCCTCCTTTGTTAATAAAAATATTTTCATTTAATTCTACAGAATTTTACGTTAACCGCGAGTCGGATACGAAATGAATAAGTAAAAACAGAATTTAAATAAATCTTAAAGTAAAACATGTTCGAAAACACTAAGCGAAGTTAATCTGAATGCGTATAATTCGTATTACTATTAAATTTTCCTCTCGATAGAAATTCTATAACGTTTACATATAAATAGCATACGCATTACTGGAGGTTTTAAAATAAGGTTTAAAAGGTTCTAAGGTTCTAAGATTCTAGGTTCTAAGGTTTCTAGGAAAGTTTCAAAATTTCTTTACAATATTTTAAGTTGACGCGTCCCGAGAAAACAGCTCCCGTTTCCTTGAAAACAGCTCACAATAGCCCAAATGATATTTCAATGAGAACAATGCCGCAGGTAATATTTGGGTAAACAAAAACTTTAAGTATTTCTTCGAACTGAAATGTTTCCAGATGTCCTCACATTTTTATGTATGTCAATAAGGAACTGTATCGACGGAAATAAACGATTTTAGCAAATCTAATTTTTACGAAAAATCTTTATTTAATTTCAGATCTTTACATTCTTATCACAACTAGAGTTGTGTCATATGATTAGTAACTTTAATTTTTTTCACGTAGAAGAATAAAATGGCAAATATAAATTATATCCCGCAAATATAAATTACTTATATATATATATATATATATATATATATATATATATATATATATATATATACAGGGTGTCCTAAAACCACCGGAATTGCTCTTAATGGTAGATTCCTTACAATATTTTAAGAAGAAAATTCTAATACAAAAATGTCGAGGTTATAATAGCTTTTAAACGGGAAACGATTACATTTAACGAATGGCAGGGCTGAAATTTCGCGCGCTCAGGTACGGAAAAATGACAAATGCAAAAAGTGCTCCTATTAATGGGGCGCTCTTTTTATGATATTATTATCATATAAATTTGCAATATGTTTTCGCTTCTCTATGTATTGCATATTAATACATTTTTTCACAAATAAAAGATGTAAAAACTAAAGGCATATCAAAAATAATTCAAGTAAAAATTTGCATATTTCAACTTGAGCTGTCAAAATCATCGATTAACATTACCGATTGAAGGTGTCCACGATACGCTGTGCGAGACAAATAAATTGTAATAGAATTAATAGCTGTTTTATTGTATTTTAGAACATTTTGGAATGTTTGTAACGAAATAAAAATTGCAATGGTTTTAATAAAAATCAATTTAAATAATAATTATAATTCAAACGTATTTAATAAACCTTAATTTAACACACTTTAAAAAATTAACACTGTTAACATATTTAATGAATTTTAATAACAACAAAACAGTTCAATAGATTAAATAACAAACTAGGATATTTTTTTTACAATAAATGTTCAAAGTGTTCACCATCGCATTCAATACATAATTGTGCGGGTCGCAATAGATTGCTTGTTGCGTTTATAATTATGTTTGGTGTTATTTCAACAATTTTACCTTACAATTCCTCGTGATTATTAACTGGCTATTTATGTATACATGTTTTTTAGTATGATCGCATAAATAGTAATCCAAAGGTGTCATATCGAATGACTGATCAACTTATAGGACCATCTTCTCGAAAATTTTTTATTCAAAGTGTAGCACACATCCCGCATTATGTAGTAGAATTTTATTAGAAAACGCGTCGTCGTCGAATACTATGTTCGTCGTCGTCAACTATGCTGAATATCCTTTCTAATATACTTTTTTACAGGTAATACAAGTTGTATTAAATTCCCTTACATGGATAGTAACATATGGTATGTATAAGGTAAATATACTAAAGAGACGGATGCAGTGCAAATGTTGATGTAAGACAATCTTTGGTGCAATACAATCTTATTTATTCTTTTGCTGTTTATGTATTTTAGATAAAGTGTCTTTAACATTGGTTATTCGGTAGTTTGGTTAGTACGTCGAATACATATATAGTTGTGTGGTGATAGTGAATACAGACACACACACAAACATACACATACCAGTAATTTGGTCTATAGGTATTGAACACTTTAGAGAAACTTAAATAATCATGGACCATCTAATGTTATTTTCATATTTCATTAAATATTCTTTAACAATTCTGATAAATTATTATCTACAAAATTTTTATAAATAGTATCATAAAATCTTATAGGCATTTTAAACAGTCCAATCTGTAATTTAATATGTTAAAGATATTCTATCATTTTTTTTTACATAAGCTACAATACAAGCAATAAACAGAAAACTTACTATTAAATTATTCCGTATACCGTCCCAAATTGAAATTAAAATGGCGTTGATAATTTTGGATACGATATTCGTGTGGATTTTCATTTCTATATGTGTGAGAACTATGTGTATTAAAATAATAACGCCTTCCTACGTATAGCAAAATTCGTTTGTAAATAAAATTGTTTTAATGAAACCCGGTACTTGTGCCAATATATATAAATATATATAAATATATAAATATATATATATATAAATATATATATATATATATATATATATATATATATATATATAATAGATAGTGCAGGCCTACATGCTATACATTTTGTACTGTTACCATAGAAAAAACTTTCTTTTCGAAGGATCGGCGATAAATTTTTTTTCTTTCAGTTGCTTCAAGGTCAACCAAAAAAATTTCTTCACCATGAATATGTGATTCTTTGAAAAGGCAAAGTTTTCTGAAGACATTTGGAAATGTCCATTTTCCATAAGTCCGTACTATAAAGAAAGCAATTTATTAATAATATATAATCATATTTTTTAGATAATAGCATATTTAAATAACAAATATAGTCCTTATTTTTATTATTACTTTGCAGCAAATCCTGAAAAAAATCTTCAAAATAACGGAAGAAATAACGGAATTTGTTTTGAATCGTTATTTTTTGAATAACGATAATGAATTGTTCCTAAAACATGTAAAGTGTTCAATTAAAAGTTCCTTGTTAAAAATAATTTTCCAAATACTGAATGTATGATTATCCTTTCGCTCGTTCCAAATTTTAGCTTCAAGAGTAGAGCTATTGCAAAGTTCTTAATAACTATTATCTACCTTGAAAATAACATTAGATGGTCCATGATTATTTAAGTTTCTCTAAAGTGTTCAATACCTATAGACCAAAATACTGGTGTGTGTATGTTTGTGTGTGTGTCTGTATTCACTATCACCACACAACTATGTATGTATTCGACGTACTAACCAAACTACCGAATAACTAATGTTAAAGACACTTTATCTAAAATACATAAACAGCAAAAGAATAAATAAGATTGTATTGCACCAAAGATTGTCTTACATCAACATTTGCACTGCATCCGTCTCTGTAGTATATTTACCTTATACATACCATATATTACTATCCATATAAGGGAATTTAATACAACTTGTATTACCTGTAAAAAAGTGTGTTAGAAAGGATATTCAGCATAGTTGAATGTGTATACTTATCAAAAGGAAAAATTTTATATCAGATATGAAGAAATGCACGCTTTATAATTTTACCTTAATATTTCCCACAAACATTTTGCTTTTGTCCAATATGTTGGTGTTACCAATAATATAAGTAAACCTTCCTGTCGTTTCCATAAATACATATATGTTTTCCAACTGTCAACAATATTATTCATTTTATTGTATATAGTATACTTGAATTTCGTAACAGATAATTTTCTAATATTTCTTCTAGAAAATATTAAAACTATTATATTTATATTTTTCAATCTGGTTCTTTAATTTACACCAAGACCTTAGTAAAGTCTGTGATTTTGGTCAGATATTTCGACGACATTGAAACCCATACTTTCCTGCTTTCCAAATACATTTTCTGAAGTGCTATCCCTATCTTCCATAATAAGGCACATATTTCTGTACTGACCATTCGATATATATTTCCCTGTGCACTCTAAGTATTTCAGCCATCTAATTATTTGACTATCCATAATGACAGCAATCTGAGCTAAGTAATTTTGAGAAAAAGCAAATCTTTTATCATACATAGTTAAAAATAACGTATCTTTTGCAAAAAGAATAAATTATCATATTTCTAGAAAATTCCAAATAGATTCTGTTCTCAAAAAACCTAAAACATCTTTTTAACATAGTTATCAAAATATTTAACACTGAGAAGTAAAATGTTAGAAGATTAAGAATAAGAAATGTATGTACTTTTGTGATTTCCATTCCAATTTCTATCTGTTTATTGCTCTTCTCCCAAATTGAAAGCATTTGTTCTGATTTCCATAACATAGGTCGATTCAGCACAAGAACTGCGTACTGACAATGTATAAAGCAAAAAATATTAGACAGATTCCATAATGTCACATGGTTAGGCTCTGATTCCTATTGCATCGTACGATTCGACGATAGCACGTGTTTCGTCTGAAAATTTTTAATTAACATGTTAAAAATATCCGCAAAAAAATTTAGAAGTAATGATATACCGGATCTAGAAGTTATTTGTTTTATGTTTCTCTTTTATATTATAAACTCTATCGTTTTGGAAAACATTAAAATAAAACTATAAATAGAATGTTATTTTAAACAATTTCTGGCCCACACTTGTGCTAGGCGAGATCTTATGTAATTGTAGCTTGGTCTCGAAGGAATCCTGTCTTGTAGCAGAATCGTTGAAACCTATGTGTCGTGTGTAAACGCATACTAGCGTTGTGGCTTACGCGAGAAATACATGAAAAGTCACAAACCTTATTACCACATACCCGTTGTACAACTCTATACACTCTATACAGTCACTTGTTTAACGACCGATCGTTATTACTGGTTTACGTTCGAACTGGTTTACTAGTGAAAATAAAACAGAGGAAATGATCATGACGCTCAGATATCTTCGTAGGTTGCAACTATTAATTAATTTGCGAAAGTTCCTATTCTTCCTACTAGTATTTCACTAATGTATCTACTTGTGCACGAGCAAAATACTACTCACATTGTCATGTGAGATAACAGAATTTGTCCTATCCGAATTGATGCGATATGCTTCCCGACGACTGGACATAGAAGAAGCCTTCTTTGGACCGATTGTATACCACACACAATCTTTAGGACCGATTGTTCCAACTTTTTGGTAAGCTACTTGACAGTAAATCATGTCTGTTTTCGTTTTTTCTTTAAATTGGAGTAGATACATGATTTAAGTGTTGGGTAGTTTACCAAGAAGTTGAAACAATCAGCGTTTAATAAGCTATTTGAAGCCCATTCTACAATGATAGTAAACTATAAAAAGTAAAAAATTGACCAATCATAATCAATCAGTTGATTATTCTTATAATAATTTTAAATAGCTAGACCGAGAAGTGGGGGTAGAGGTTCACGTAGAAAAAGATGCACTGTGTTTTGAGACGGGTGGGATCCGATTGACCACGATACAATTGGACACAGATTGTAATGATTGGTTCGACCTAGTAATTCACTAGATAATTCTTTTCATCGGTTGGTTGTATCCAATCGTACCGTGGTCAATCGGGACGCTCCCTTTTGAGACTCTACGTTCTCTCTCATTTGCGTATGATATGAGTGTATATGTGAGAGAGATTAGTAAAGAGAAATAAAAGAACGAGAATCTGGGACTACATATCTTCTACATTGAATTAATCGAATAATTGACCAATGTTCTTTCCAACAAATGTCGAACTTCACCATTGTGCATGTCAATTTTAATCACATCTCTCTAACCATAACCTCTTTCACACATACGCTCATCACTTGCGCGAAAGAGCGAGAACGCAGTCTCAAAACTAGAGATGCCCGATTCTGAATCGATTCGATTCTTTCCCCAAAAATAGGCTTATTCGTGTTGTTTGCATTCTTCGCACTTTTTGTATTTAAAACAAGACAATATTGGAATGTTTAGAAGAAGCAAAAGCGAGACAACCAACTTGATTATTTCTTCCAAGCATCTGATTAAGTGTCCATCTCTTTTTAAAAGCGAAAAGTATGAAACATGCAAGCAGCACGAACCCTTTTTTCCTAAATTTGTTAGGGAAAGAATCGATTAAGAATCGGGCATCTCTACTCAAAACACAATGCATCATTTTCTACATGCGCGTTATTCCCACTTTTCAAATAAAGGCAAACGCTCGGTCTAGATATGTCTATGCTCGGAATCGCGCGACAACATGACGCGCAGAGCAACCGACGGTAAATGCGTGATAAACACACGCTTGCTTGAGGATCACACAAACCGCGCGATGCAACGAGTCGACAGGCATTGAACGGTAGCCGCAAATCCACCATGCGGTGGTCACCATCGTCAGGTGACGAATGTAAACACCGTGACAGCTGATCGCTCCGATTCTTCGCCAATAAGGCCGACATCCCATAGGGCGGAAATTTTCTGGGGAACGGAACACGCGGAACCAATATGACCAATCACAGCCGTTTCGCTCTTTTTTGTGCCGTTTCGCTATAATCTTACCGCTGCAATTTTGCGGAAAGGATAAAGATAGTCGCGGATAACCTCAACATATCTTACATATCCCATTTGCTTCTTATACATTTATTATATATATATCTTTTTTCGACATTCTTTATTTCGTTTAGTAGTGGAGGGATCGTAAGTAATAAGATGTTAATATTTTGATAATTATAGTAAACAATTATGTATAATGTCACGTCCGACTGACCAGGCTGCCAGCCAGTGATAATTTTTTGTCCAAATAATAATCCTTTTCCACTCCAAGTACGAAACCTTTCTTTCCCAAAAGGAAGGCATCACTATCATTCAGACCCCTTCCTAAAGGCGGGATCACAAAAGCTCAGTAGCAGTAGAGTAGTGACTGGCGTAGCAGTCAGAGTCGGGTGCCGGGATCGGAAGTCCAAAGATAGTCCTCACCTCCAAATCCCATTTCTCTAATTCACTAATTCTAAACCTTAGTTCCCTCTAATTCTTAAGCAATTAACTTTAGGTTATCATTAACATTCTTAAACATTTACGAGCGTTTTATTCTAATGCATAATTCTTTAGTTTGTTAAACAGTTTATTTTAGTTATTTTATTTCGTCACTTCCGTTACTTTAGCCATACTTAAGATATCTTTGTAAGCATATTATATATCAAGAATTATACAATACACATTATATATATATATATATATATATATATATATATATATATATATATATATATATATATATATATATATATATATATATATA